CATTCTGCAAGTCTGCTCCTGGCCACAAGTTCTTAGTCCTTCTCTTCTTAGTTGATGAATCTAGAGTCCTCAGCCGCTCCCTCTCTCCATGCCCCCATCTCTGCCTCCATCTCTGGCACTGCTGCTTCTCTGGATAAGGTCCCGCATTCTATTTGTGCGTTCCTCTCTTGATGGTCCTACGGTTCTCTGTTTCTGGACTGTAATAAAGTGATTTATTTTTATTAACTTTATTTCTACTTATCTGCAGGCTGTTTGTCATCACCAGGAACCAGAAGCACCTGTTGTTACTCCCGCTCAACCCATGTGCTGCAGGCACAGTGCTGTGCTTACTTTCCCCGGAACTGGATGGACCAGCAGTATAGACCCTACAGTTTCTTCACAAAATGTACGTAGAATGGCCACAAACTTCCCATTTCACAAGAGACAGGAGAATTGAGTGTGTGTCTGCAGTTCACTTTCCTTCCTTCCTAAAATAAATGATTAGTTGATAATGTACTATTACAAGTTTTCTTTCTTACATGTACTACCTCCTAGAATTCGCTCACGTTGCCAGTCTCCCTGAGCTGCACTTTAGGAAGCACTGATTTAGGCTAACTGAAAGGTTGGCGGTTTGATCCCACCCAGGGATTTTGAACCCCTAACCAAGGTCACTATGAGTTGGAAAGGACTCAACGGCACTTAAAATAGCTAATTTAGAGACCTTGTTAGTATATACACATGTATACATGTATATTACACACATAATCTTTTTCTTAGATTCTAATATAATACTATTTTATTATTATTATTATTTTTAAATTATTATGAACTGAGTGATAGTTTGCATGGGAGAGCATTGGCTTTGCACTATTGTTTCATTGCAGTGATTACAGTCTCCTCCGTGTATCATCATTCAACAGTATTTGTTTCTATTCCCTCTGTTTTTTTTTTTTTGGGGGGGTAAGGGGGTGAGGGATGTACACAAAACCACTCAGGAATATATAATAATTTAAACAACCCAAGGGCACATTCTGCAAGCCTGTCTCCTGGCCACCAGCGCTAAGTCCCTCTCGTTCCATGAGTCTAGAGTCCTCAGCTGCTCCCTCTCTCCCTATCCTCGTCTCTGACTCCATTTCTCCATCTGTGCTTCTCTGAATAGGGTCCCACATTGCACTTGTGCTCTTCTCCCTTGATGGTCCGAGGATCTATATCTGGACTGTAAGATTAACTACTCCCCTGGTTTTGTTATAAAACTTCTACCTTTATAGTTGTGATAATCGCAGTTAGTCATGATAACAATTACATTGAATCATAAGAAGCTTATCCCCATCTCTTTTCACCAGACCCATCTAGACAAGATGAAAACTATTTAGTAAGGCCTCTTATCTTCCCCCACACACTCTTAAACTAAACTCCCTATTGAAACCTTGTAAACCAGTCACTTCATCCCTTTATCGCCCCCTCATTTTAGGTTTGAATTTGCATATCAGTAATTGATGGTCTGTTCCACAGTCTGCCCCTGGCCATGTCTTCACTGATGAAATGGGGCTTTTCCATCTTCTCCTTCCACAGATGTAGTCAATTTGATTTCTATGTGTTCCATCTGGCGAGGTCCATGTGTATAGTTGTCTATTATGCTGTCTAAAGAAGGTATTTGAAATAAACAAATCATTTGTCTTGCAGAAATCTATCATTCGTTCTCCAGCATCATTTCTATCA